ATGATTTTGAAAGTTCCTTCCTACTGTGACATTTGGGTTTTTAGACCTTCTCAGTGTCATCTCTTAATCTCAGGCCAGGCTGACAGATGGACAAGTTGATTCTGGGTCCCTTGGCCCATGTGCATCAAGCCTGGTGATTTGCCCTGACACCCCTGGGTGTATCTTTTTACTCTGCCCTGCTGGCTAGATGCTGGGGCAGGAGGGTGAAGTGTTTTCTTGGGGTGGCCCTGGGGCAGAGCTGGGAAGTTGGGGTAGGTAAAGGAAAAGGGAGGGAAGGAGCGCCAGAGGAGACCTCTGCCCAGCACTCCTGCGCCTGTGGGCGGGGTTTCCTGAGAAGCAGCTCTGAGCTATTCTTTCCATTCTGGCTCTGGGCATCAGTTCCTGGCAGGGAAGAGGGCAGGCTGCCTGGACCAGTCAGCTGCTCCTTTCTGCCCTGTCTCCAACAGCACCCTCTTGCTGTAACCCCAGTAGCTCAGTTCTCTTGGAAATTCCAGAGCCTTAACCCTTCAGACACCCCCCAGGGGAGCAAGAGCCTAGTTGGAAGTCAGTGAGCTGGGGGTTGGGGGGGTAGGGGTGGCCACTCAGAGCCAGCTCCAGGGAAAGGAGATGCTTCTCTGAGGCTGTGTCTGAAAACCTTCATAGCCATCAAGTCCTGGTTTGAGTCTACCCACTTCTGCTGCTGTGATCACTGGGCCTGGGGTCCTGCAGGAGAAAGAAGGGGTTCTGGCTCCTTCCTGATGGGGCATTGGTATCATGAGAAAGGGGAGCAAGCTTAGTCCCTCACTGGGCAAGGATGTGGCCAAGTTGGACTGGATAACAGGTGTGCAAGCAGAACAGCCTTGCTCCCTGTGGCTGGAGTGTGTTCAAGTCCAAGCTGAACGCCTACTATGTGTTAGGAAAATCCAGGCTTCCAAAGGGGAACTTGAGAGATTCTTCTAGTCTCTGGAGGCTGTGAGCCCTCGAACAAGTTACCAGCAGAGCCCAGGTGACCTGGTTCCTGGCTTCTAGTCTTTGGGCATCAATTAGCCTCATTCTGTCTCTGGATCTTCTCTCTCTCTCTCCCCTTCTCCTTCTACTCTACATTCTTCTCAGGCTTCTACCATTTGCCAGAGTTACGAATGTAAACATTGACCACTTGCTCCTTTTCCTGCTCCCGAGGCAGATGCCAGCCCAAAACCTCATGCCTGGCTGAGGCCTGGATAGAGTGCAAATGGCCAGGACCCGCATGTAGGCTGGGCAGCAGCCAGGGAACAGGCTCAGAAGTTGCCAAGGCCAGCAGCCCCAGGCCGAGGCTCCTGCTGTCTACCACTGCTCAGAAGTGAGTGTGGCTGAGCTTAGCCACATCCCTGCTGGGCCAGATCGCTCCCTTTCCCCTGTGCCCAGGCCTCTACACCAGAGAGCTGGGATGTCCTGGAGCCCCAGGCCCGGCTTTATGACCAGGACAGGTCACTCCACCTCCCTGCACTGACTGTCAGCTGGTAGAGCAAGGGGGTGGCCTGCCACACCACCCGAGTTTCCCTTCAGTGCTGGTGTTTATGATCCTTTTGTGCCAAGTTGGGAACTGAAGCATCCTGGCGGGTGCTGGCGACCACTGGCTGTACCAGCCTTCTGTGGTCAGGAGAGGGTCTTAGACAGGAAGCCCCGAGCAGTGGTGAGAAGTTAGTATGTCCGGATATGGGCTTAGGAGGGAGGAAGGATGGGCTCTGCACTTGGTCTTGACTTCCTGGTACCCTAGCTCAGTGACTAATTTTCATAAGCTTCTACTACATTTGTAAATAGGGGTAAGGACCTTCTCCACCCTGCTGGCTATTGTGAGAAGTTAATGGAATATTTACTAAAAACAGGCAACATTTCCTGTCTGCCAGATACCAGGCACCATTCCAAGCATTCTGTGTGCATTTTCTCATTGACGTTTTACAGTCTGTAAATCTGGCGGTACTCTTACGGTGGTAAGCCCATTTTCCACATGGAAAGGCTGAGGCACAGTGACGTGTGGCAGGTAGTCAGTTCCGATCTCTGGTGAGCAAGGACTGGTAGCTGAGTCCCCAGGGAACAGGGCTATGACCTGCTGGGTGCCAGCAGGCAGGTCTACTGGTGAATTCCTCTGAAACCAGAAAAGTCAGAGGGAGGGGCCCAGGAGCCTGTGAGTCAGCAGTCACTGCACTGGACCGGAACCCTGTTGTCCTCATGGCCTATTCAAGGCTTACCTTGTTTTCCCTCATCCACCCCGCCCCCTGTGGTGGCAGCCCCCTGGGTCTGGGGAAGAGACCTGTTTGCCCTGCTTGGCTCAGAGGAATGAGGGAGAGGCAGCTGGCCTGCAAAGACCAGGCCTGGTGAGTCTGGCTCCTCAGTCTGAGCTAGAAGTGAACTCAGACATCTGGCCCACTCCACCTATTACACGGAGTTGCCCCCTAAAGAGGCAACAGGACCAGTCATGGTGACATCATTGGTGGCCCAGCTGGGGCTTCCACTCACAGGGCCTTTCCTGCCAGTGTCTCTCGGGTGGTGTTGAGCCTGTTCACCTGTGTACACACCCGATGGTGGCAGTCTGACAGGCCCAGGGTGCCGGTGATAATGACAGAGCCCTCCCTCAAAGGCCCTTGCCCATGCCTTTCCCTGCTGAGAGGAAGCCATTCTCTTGGTTAAAAAGGGGTCTTTGGGGCCTCCCTGGTGGCGCAAGGGGTTGAGCTACGCACTGTGAAGCAATCCGCAGCCTCTGCAGCAAGAGTTCGATCCCCGGCCGGCCAGGGAGCTGCCCACATGGCGAGGCAGACCTCTCCTGTTTCACCCGCTGCTCCCCTCAGTGTATTTTGGTCCATCTGCCTGTTCTGTTCCCCACTCTGTCTCTGATGAATCCTTTCACTCACCCCCCTGCATTTCTGGCCTGTACCCCAGCTCTTGTATGCATAAATAATCTTTAAAAAAAAAAGGGGGGGGAATCTTTGGAGAGGACCGGTAGAGAGGTCTAGGGAGAAGGACCCTCTTGCCTAGGTATAGAGAACTCAATTTTCCTTTCTGTTTTAAAAGTCTATTCAGGAGATTTCACACATTTTAACTATTTAGGATTATTTTTCTGCCCTAACATAAGCCTGAAACATTTCCAAAGACAGTTTGTATTTCTGTTCCCTAGACTCACAACGCTTAGCTTTTAGTCCTCGCAGCTCTTGGGGCACCCCACCCCTGATGTAGGGCCTTCTCCATCCGCTGCTGATGGCCTGGTTTCTGGTGTCACACCCTCACTGCCAAGAAGGTCTTTTTTATTCCTGACCTAACACATTCCTGCTCTGGTTTGGGTCCATTTACTCTAGGAAGATGGAAAATAACCTATTTAGAGACCTAGCCTGTTATTCTATCCTTCCTCCACACCCATGTATCCCCTTCCCCTCTCTGAATCATCCCTGAGAAAAGAGATAAGACAATTCTTTATCTGATCCCTGAATGGTGCAGGGTGCCCTAAAAAGTGAAAGCAGTTCTCTTTCTCAGCAGAGGCTCTGAGGAGGTCTGTTGACCTGGATTTGGGGGTGCTTCTTCCCTGGGGACTCCAAAAGTCTATCCCTTGGGGGAGGTGGTGGCCCTGTCAAGGGCTCAGACTTTGTCTGGGCTGGTCCCTTCCAGGGTCCAAAGGGTGTCCCAGGGCCTCCTTCTTATCTCTTCCCAAGCCCTCAGCTCTGCCTCCTCCGTGGGGAACACTGGGCCAGAAGGGCATTTGTTGGCAAAAGAGGCATAAAGAGCATTGCAGGGCCTCCCCTGGTGGCGCAGCAGTTGAGTGCTGGGCTGCCAGGCTGCCCGCAGCCTCTGCAGCGCTGGTTCGTTCCCCGGCCGCAGGCAAGGGTCCCACAAAAAAAAAAAAAAAAAAAAAAGAGCATTGCAGCGTATAAAGAACATGTACCTAGGTGCCTGAAGGCCTCCATTCTAGTTGTCCTTAACCTGGTAGTTCTGTGATCCTGGGGAATCACCTCACTGCCCTAGGCCGTGAGCATTTGGTGCTGTACGACCTGGAAGTCTCCTTGAGCTCTGTTTCTAAACCTGCCTCTTCCTGGCCTCTCAGCTCTCCCCTGGCTGAGGGGCTCTTCCAGCTGCAGAGAAGGTATTGATTGGATCTTGTGGCCTAGCTCCTCAGGGCCCTCCCTTGCCCATTGGCCATGGCTCCTAGGGGGGAGACAGGCAGGAATCACAGGGATACCTCAGTGTTCAAAAGCTGTGTCTCTCCTTAAGGAGGCTCTGAGGTGCCACGCACTTCAGGAAAAGCCATGAAGTTAATGGCTGTGGTCACAGGCTGCTACACGCTGCCACAGGCCTATCATGCACCTCAGCTGGTATTTGAAGGAACCAGAAAGTCTTGTCTCAGCCCTGCCCTTTTGTGCAGCCTCCCAGCCTTAGTGGCCAGCACCCACTCGCCCAGCCTCTCAGGCGTCCCCTGACTCAGCCTGCCCTGGCCTGGAGTTCACAGCCCTTGTACCAACCTTGTCCTCCGCCTCCTCCCCCACCCTCCACTTTGGGCCCTGGCTCCTCCCCAGCTCTGCCTTTCAGGCCTGTGTTCCTGCCAGCTGCCATGGGGGCTGGGCTGACCCCTTCAGTGGATCCCAGCTGGCCCTGTGACTCACCGGGAGGCTTCACTGGAGCCATCCAGCTTCTTCTCTGGAAGGCTTTCTTAAATGAGAACAGTGGAGTTCCCAGGCCTCTGCTGTCATCTCTCACCCACTGATGCTTAGCCTCTGCTCTGTGCTCCCGCTACAAACCCCCCTCCTCCTGCTTTCCTAGGTCAGGAAGCTGCCCAGTCAGGATGGTGGACAGAGAGCTGGCATGCTGGCAGAGGAGCAGGGGCTAAGCTGGTGGGCAGGTGGTGAGGTGGGCAGGGAATGACACTGAGGGACGGAGAAAATACGAGGGGCGCCTCAACACGGGAGCCCCAACACGAAGGCAGGCAGCCCTCACAGGGCTGATTGAGCAGGGCGGAACTACTCGTGACTGTTTTTCTATTCTCCCATTTTAGGTCTCAGCAGTGGGGGTCTCCCCTCAGCCCTTGAGGAACCATGTCCAACCCCAGCGCACCCCCTCCGTATGATGACCGCAACCCCCTGTACCCTGGCTCTCCACCACAGGGGGGCTATGGGCAGCCCGGTGGGTATCCTCCCTACCCTGCCTATCCCCAGCCTGGCTACGGTCACCCTGCTGGCTACCCACAGCCTATGCCCCCCATCCATCCGATGCCCATGAACTACGGTGAGTCCCTGCAGGTGGGTGTAGGGTGGGTGGGAGGGAACGGCACTAGTATTGTAGCACCAAGGCCACCCTGGGCCTTCCTTGTCTCTTAACTTCCTCTTTAATTCCTTTCTCGTCTTCTTTTTAGACCTCTCCATCCATTTCCCCATCTTTGTTACCTCCCTACTTCTCCCCTCAGTACCTAGCCCCTGCTAGCTCCCCCTTTATTCAACCTTTTAACCAATTGCTAGCCCCCCCTTTATTCAACCAGGAGACTCAGCCCGTGAGACACACCTGAACTTGCAGGTCAGGAGGGAAAATGGCCGGGTGAAGTGATTCATTGCTTCAGAGCAGTTACCTTAGCAGACCACCCCCATTTCCTAACTGGGCAGTTGCCATCCCACCCAGACTTGTCTCTTAAGAGCTGCCTTTGGAAGCCAAAGCACTTAAAAAAAAAAAAGAAAGAAATTGTTGGTGTGTTGCAAATCCTTATCCATTAAGGTATCCTCTGACTTTTGCAAACATCTAGAAATCTTTTGGATGGTTGATAAAGATCATGGTATGTAAGTGCTATATTCGGTCAAAAGTTAGATGAGATTAGGGTCTCCCTCGTGGCACAGGGGTTAAAGACACAGCGCTGTCAAGCTATTGCCAGCCACTGCAGCATGAGTTCAATCCCCAGGCCGCCAGGGAGCTACCCACATGGCACAGCAGACCTCTCCTGTCTCGCCTGCTGCTCCCCTCAGCAGTGTATTTCAGTAGATTCGCCTTCGCCTGTTTCACCTGTTCTGCTCCCTACTCTGGTGAATCCTCTCACCACCACCACCACCCCCCGCACCTCTAGCCTACATCCCAGTTCTTATATGCATAAATAAATCAATCTTTAAAAAAAATGAGATTCGGATGTAGTGGATTGTTCCTGGCTGGCTCACATGGGAATTTTGAAAGCAGCTCCTGAAGAAGCCTTCCGGAGTGTTCCTGCAGCAGCCTGGCGCCTGGAACTCAGCTAGTGCCCGTCTGTACACGTCATGGTAGCTGCGCACATCCCTCACCATCAGTCGTGCGGGCCCTGTGCTCGCTGCCTCTAACACGGCTGTTTTCCCAAGTCCCGCTATTTGTTTGGCCTTGACAGCGAGGCCTGACATAGCTCATGGTGTTAACAGGCTGTCCTTCAGCCTCTGTGCACCTTGTTTCTGCCTCCCTTTTCCTGCCTTTCCATCCTGGAGTCCCCTGCGCTGACCCGTGCTCCTCTGATGCTCCAGCTGTGCCTGCCTGAGCATCCGTGTGTGGGTGGGGAATGCGTGCTGATGGAATGGCTCACACCTAAGCCCCCTTGCGATGGGCACATTGCTCTATAGGGGGTCCAGGCCAGTTCTGAGGGCAACCAAGGCCTCTGGCTTGGGCAAGGAGTTCTGTCTTTTGGCTGGAGATCTGAGACTGAGACAGTGTCATGGAGACTTTGGGATTGAGGCTTCATGTCCCCGGTCCCCAAGTAGTCATGTGTGATCTGTCCCCAGGCCCAGGTTACGATGGGGAGAGAGCAGTGAGCGACAGCTTTGGGCCTGGAGAGTGGGATGACAGGAAAGTCCGGCACGCCTTCATCCGAAAGGTGAGCTATGGGCTTGGAGGCAGGGTCCCAAGGGCTCTGGGGAGGGGGAGCACTCATTGCCATGCAGATTTGCTGCTGCCTTAACCCTCTTCCTGTCACATCTGCACTGCAGGAGACCCCACAAATGTCAGACTAAACCTGCAAATGCAGAGGCCGTACCAGGGAGTGTAATGAGGCAGGGGAAGGAGTGATCCCAAGCTCTGAGGGTGTGGCTGGTAGCTGAGTCAGACTGCTCAGGGTTTGGGTTAGGGGCTGACCATTAGGCCCGGCTGCAGCTGAGGAGGGCTCTGTACTAGGAAGAGCAGATCTTAACAAAAGATGGGGCAAGGGGAGGGTGGTAGGGTCTTTGGGCTCCTGGGTCCTGGACCCAGCTGCTTCCTGGGGAGGGGGAGGGGCAGGGCGGAGGTTGGTGACCGTGCTGCCCCCTGCTGGCTGTGTTCCAGGTTTACACCATCATCTCCATCCAGCTGCTCATCACAGTGGCCATCATCGCTGTCTTCACCTTTGTGTGAGTCTCTGGGGTCCTGGGCCTAGGGCTTGGGGTCATATGCTGGGAGTGTAGGGTGGGTGAGTCCTTTTCTTAGGTGGAGGGGAAGAGGAGTTGGGATGGGGCCACTGAGGAAGGAGTACAGGCTGCTGGGTAGGACACAAAAAGGAGGTGACAATCGGTGTGACTCCTCTGGTCTTCCCCTGCTCCACAGGACGCCGGTCGGCGAATTTGTGAGGAAAAACGTGGCTGTCTACTATGTATCCTAGTGAGTCTGTGTTGCTCTGCTCAGGGCAAGGAGACGGAATTGGGGGTAGGGGTTGGTGGTTTCCATTTTTCCATTTCCAGTTGGCCAGTCCTCGGGGCAGGGATCAAAATGCTTTTTTGACCCCAGGCCCTTTAAGTTGGTAAGTGTGTTGGGAAGCATGGGTGTGTGCGACCACCAATAAGGGTCACAGAGTCACAGAATCCCAGAGCAGAGGGTGGGAACTGGTGGTGTCATGCACACTGCAAATGGTCCCCATGTCCACTGGCCTATCTGCTGTGGCTGCTCAACACTCCCCTGGCCCAAACCCCTGTCAGAGGCTCTCAGTGGCCCTGGCTGGGGGTAACTTGTCCACTAGGCAGCTTTCCCTCAGACTAGCAAACAGCTCTGTGAGCCTCCAACCTGCCACTGGGGAGTGTTCCAGGTGGGCTGGGAGGGAACGACGGGCAGGTTGGGCCTATAGACTACTTCCCCATCTCTTTCTCCCCAGCGTTGTCTTCATAGTCACCTACATGACCCTTATCTGCTGCCAGGGACCCAGGTGAGTCGCTGAGATTTAGACAGTGAGAAGGGAGGGGTGGGGAGGGGAGCCAGTATTTGGGAAGAAAGGGGATCCTTATGGCAGCTGAATGGCACTGCAGCAGTGACCATGATGATGAGGATGACAGTAATTACTGCCAGGTGTGCACAAGGACCTGTGCGTGCAGGATCCAGCTAGTTACCATTCTTATAGCACCTCTGCAAGATATGTAGCATTTTAGCCACTTAACAAACAGGAAGAACCTAAGGCCCAAAGAGGCTGAGTAACTTTTTCACAGTCACACAGGTAGAGTAAGGGTTGCAAACAAACCTAGGTTTTTGTGGCTCCACAGCCCAGGTCTGTGTCCCTGCCTGGTGCTGTTCCTACATAGAACTCCTGAACAGGTACCAAAGGTTGTGCCAGCCTCCCCTCTGCCAAATCAAGGCCTAACCTTTAGGCACAGGAGCCAGGAACTTCTCTGCAGGGGCCCCTGACACCACGCCCTGGTCAGCTGTGAGTCACTTAATGATGGTTTGTTTCCCTTCAGGCGCCGTTTCCCATGGAACATCATCCTGCTGACCCTCTTTGTAAGTCTAGAAGAGTTGAGGGAGGGTGTGGAGGTGGTGTGAGGGAGGGAGATCCCAGGGAAGGAGGGGGAACGCCAGTGGAAGGTGTGGCCGGGCCTGGTCTCCTAGGTGTCTGCCTCCTTCCTCCCCAATTCTGTGCTCAGTCCTGGGGGGGCCAGCAAGGCCATGCTGCCAAAGTCCCACCTCGTCTTAACGTTTTCCATTCTTGTCTCTGTCCTTCCCTCAGACTTTGGCCATGGGCTTCATGACGGGCACCATTTCTAGGTACCTTCAGGGGCAAGTCGCCACGCGCCTGGGAAGCGTGTTACGGGGCTGTGGAGCATCCCTGGGCTGGCGGGCATCTGCATGGGGGGACTTTGGGCAGAGTCCTTCTGTCGCTGCCTTATCTTAATTCCTTCTCCCCCAGTATGTATAGCACCAAAGCTGTCATCATTGCCATGATCATCACTGCGGTGGTGTCCATTTCAGTCACCGTCTTCTGCTTCCAGACCAAGGTGAGGGCATGGAGGGCTCTGCCCTGGCTGTCTCACCTCCTTCCTTGTCCAGGGCTCCCCTTTTGGGCTTGTTACTTGAGCAGGCCTGGGAGGGCTCACACCCCTACACACCAGGGATTTCCCTTAGACATCCTATTCCCCTTCCTCTCAGATCTGCACCTACGAAACAGCTGCTTGTGCCTCTCAGTTGATCATCATGGCTATGCCCATGTCTCCCCTCTTGCCACAGAGGCAGCCCTGGTGGGGGGGCAGGGCAAGTCTGATGGGATTATGGTTGTGGCACCTGTCTAACTGGGGCACCTTCTCCCTTCCCTACAGGTGGACTTCACCTCGTGCACAGGTCTCTTCTGTGTCCTGGGGATTGTGATGATGGTGACTGGGATTGTCACTGCCATTGTGCTGTCCTTCAAATATGTGAGTGTCCCAGAAGAGCTAGGGTCAGTGAACCAGTGCTCAGGGCAGATGTTTTCATATGATGTGGTGTATCAGTCCCTCACCCTGGCCCTACAGGCCCTTGGGCAGGCCCTGACCTCCTGACCCTCTCGACTGGCTAGCAAAGAGACCCATGCTGAAGTGCTCTGGGTAGCGAGTAGAATTCTTATGGGAAGCAGCGGATTAGGTCTGACATTTGAGATAGGCAGCAGGCCAGGTGAGCGACCGAGAAGATGAGCTTGGGTGGAAGGGCCTTTGGGCTCACAGTAGCCCACTACTTTTCTATCCCAGTCTCTAAGCAAGAGACTTTAGGCTGAAAGGAGGATTATGGCTGAGAGGGGAGAACAGGGCTGTCCCCTGGGCTGGCTCTGCTCTTCTGTGGACAGCACCTGGGGGTGCTCCCTGGTTCTGATTGATCATGGTGGTTGGGGGGGCTACCCGCAAGGCTGGGCTGATTCATCATAGTGATTGGGGGTTTCCCCCAAGGCTAGAATGTTGATTACAACTGAGGGAACAAAGATGGGGCTCTTCAACCTGCTGTACAGGGGTGTGAGCCCTCCCAGGTGGCTTGCCCCTGCCAGCACTATGACTCTACCACCGTCTTTCTTCCAGAAATCTAGTGGACGCCCCTGTACCTTAAGTGAGATTGGTTTTATATAGCCATTGGAGGATGGCCTGTCTTCTCCGCAGACATGTTACCATTCTTAGCCTCTCCCCAGATCTGGAAGGGAGAAGTAGGCCTTTCTGGCATTCCCACCCAAATGCCGGGGGAGCTGGCTGGAGGGCCTGCCTTGGCCACGCTTGGCTAAGATTTCTAACACCATCCCTGTCCTCCTCCTCAGATGTACTGGCTCCACATGGTCTATGCTGCTCTGGGGGCCATTTGTTTCACCTTGGTGAGTAAGGCCTGCCCCCTCTAGGACGGGGAGCTGAGGGGATGGCGGGGAGGACCTGAGCAAGTGGAGCATGAATTCAGGCAGTTTGGGAGGCAGGGAATAGAGCCATAGCCTCGCTTCCCGCTCCCCACTGTCAGAGGTTGTGCTGGTTTTCTGGGCATTCCTGCCATCTTGTGTTCACCTGCCTGCTCTTAGAACCCCAGCAGGCGTGTAAGAGACAGTGTGTCTCCCTCCCTTTTTAGACTGAACCACTTGAAGGTAGCCATGGGTGTGCTGTGCATTAATGGGTCTTCCAAGCACACTGCATGGCACAGACTCTTGGGACAGAGCTGCTGCCCACAGAGCCTGAGGTCCTCACTTATGGCTTCCCTGCCCCTGCAGTTCCTGGCGTACGACACGCAGCTGGTCCTGGGGAACCGGAAGCACACCATCAGCCCAGAGGACTACATCACTGGCGCCCTGCAGATCTACACAGACATCATCTATATCTTCACCTTTGTGCTGCAGCTGCTGGGGGATCGCAATTAAGGAGCACCCCAACCTGCATCACCTTGGGCTCTCCCTCCCCTGGAAGGCTGGGCCCTACGACTGGGGTCTGGGTCTCAGACCTTTCTCCTTCCCCTCATGTAATATGCCTCTTTTCCTTTCTGTCCTGGCCTGGGAGACCTCTGTGGCTGTAGATGTGCAGGGACCTGGCAGGGGTTAAGGACCTAACTCCCTCACCTTGGGCAGGGACTAGGCTGAAGATGTGCCTTCTCCCTTCACCACCACACGACACTAGATTCTTCTGAATCGCTAGGGTTAGAAGGGGAGGGATGAAAAGAGCCAGTTCTACAGCTGAAAGGGAATATGAGTGGTAGAAGTGACTTCAAGAGGGTGAGGCTTCCATCTCTGACAGGCTTCTTCTGGCCTCCGGAGCTAGAGCTTTTTCCTCTCTCACCCCCCAGCTAAACCAGAGAGCTCTGTCCCCAGCCTCCTGGACAGGCCGTTATCCTGTACTTCTGTGGCAACCTGTGGTGCCTTCCAGCTCAGGAAGGTGGAAAAGATCAGTGCCTGTGGGTCTCCCCTGCTTCAGCCCCATCTTCTTTCAATGGCATGTATATACTCTTTATCAGGGTGAGGGGTAGGGAGGAAGAGCAGAGTGAGCATGGTCAAGCAGAGGGCCCAGCAATATTAGCCCTGGGCTTTGTGGCTGTGGAGAGGGCAATGCAGATTCACTTTCAGCCATTTGGTCCCTATTCTTCAAAGCTGCCTGGGGCTTCCTGGGTGCCTCAAGATTTCTAGTCAGAGGGACCGCTGGCTTCCTGGACTCAGGGGCAAAGATCAGGAGAGGGGGTGGTGGTGTGTAGGATCCTAAGTGTGGCCAGGAAGTAACTAGGGTGAAGACACACTAGGGGTGGAAGCAGGGAAGATGCTTTGGGTTCCCCACGCCCAGCCTCAGAGCTGTGGTATCCATGGAAGCTTCTGTGTGCTTTCCTCCTGCTCACTGGGGGAAGGCCCTGACAGGAAGGAGACTTCCTCTCTGTTAACTCATGCTGGGGGGTTTTAGACTTGAGCCCCATCTCTCCAGCCAGCTACTACTTCCTTTGTGACACCAAGTGCCTCAAGCTGGAGTGGGGAAGGTGGACAAGGGTCACTTTTTTGGGTTAGGATGGAAACCAGGTCAGCCCAAGGGTATAATTAGGACTTCTCTGTTAAGTACTTGGTCCTAAATATATCATGCAAAATTCATAATTAGAAATATAATAAAGTTTTATGTTCAGAAGTTAAGACCCTGTTCAGCTCTGGTTTTCAGCATTTGAAAGGTATGTGCCTGGAAGAATGAATCTGGCCCTGCCCAAAGCAGGTGAGGCCTACCTTTGAGTTCTGGTTGGTTCTCTCCCATCTTTTCTAAGATAATGAAATAACATTGCCCCTGTGCTGTCTGCGCTGGAGACAATAGGCTCAGGGGCAGGGCTGCCAGCTGTACTCCTGGGCCTGCCTAGATGCTCAAACAGCTGTGGCTGGGGCAGCACGTGACCTTTTCTTTGCCACGGACCCTTCTCAATATCTGGACTCTTGGGGAAAGGCTACTGGTCTGCTTTCATGTCATTTCTGCCCCCTCAGGATCCCAAATAACTCAGTTTGGGGAGAGCAGAGGTCCCTTACCTAATAGACTCAATACTTTTGGGTTCTTTATTTGGTAGGGAGAATTGGTAAGGTGAATAAAATGCTATTTGGGGGAGATAAACATGGTTTGTAACTTGGATGGTTTGAAAGATTGAGTACAGCTGACTCCTTTGAGAAGCTACCCTTTGGAGTACCTCAATGGGGAGTAAAGGGTTAAAACTGCAAACCCTCAAGCATGGCCCCAGAACCACACTTTAACCCATAGAGTAATACAATGTTCTGGTTGGCCAGGTGTCCACTGAAATTTCTAAGGAATTGTAAAAGATAATACTGGAGGTCTCCTGACATCAACCACATGGTCCTTTGACCTGGGAGGCCCAGACACCCTGTCACGACCTATGGGATGAAAACTTGTGACACTAAAATATTACTTGCTGTTTTTCACCATTCTCAAGTAAGCAGTGGACTTTCTAACATTACTAAATGAATGGAAAGCAGATAGTCTGAGAACCTAGGTTGTCTTTTATTAAAGGATCTGTGTTAGTAGCTCATGTATTTATAAATTTTAATAAAGATGAAAAATTCAAGAGAGCTGTAGACATTTTCCCCACAAGGCTGTATGTATACATACAATTTTACATGTGGGGATGGGGTGGGGTGGGACCCTAGATTCAGACTTAGAATCTTTGCCTTAGACCTTCCCATTACAAATAAGGAAACTGAGGCCCAGAGAGGCTGAGTCATTTGGATTCAGGCAAAAGTAGTGCTTTTTCTCCTCCACCCCCTGAATGCCCTCTTTGATTCTCAATTATTTGTTCAAGGTTGAGTGGGACTCCACCCTCCTGACCAGCAGTTCTGAGGGTTTGGTCCACAGGGCTTGAGCCCAGGCTAGTGCTTTAAATCTAGTTTCTCCAATCATCCAATACTCTGAGCACTTCAGTGAGAGGGAGCACATAGTAACCGGTCCCACCCTCTGCCACTCCCCTCCCAAGGGACTCACAAACCCAGTCCTGTTTCCTTTACACTCAATTTTATTTATCTTTGGCTGGCTGCTTCGGAGGGAAGGGACAGGGCCAGGAGCTGGCAGCAGCCTGGGCTTCATGCGCCCTCTGGTGGAATTCAGAGGCAAGGATCAGAATTGAAGTCAAACCCAAAGGGCTTCTGGCTCAAGAGGCCACAGTCAACAGTCTAGGGGAGGGCTACAGTGTTCCTCAGGCCTGCACCCCGGACTCAGTTCCACGATTCGGGGCATGTTGGGAGGAGGACCTGAACCTCTGGCTCTCATACTCGCCCGTGTTGGATGCCCGCATGTTCTGCCGAGCCTTCATCTGCTTCAAACGGTCCTTGTCCACTTCCCGCTTGGTGAGGATGAAGAGGAGGATACCACAGGGGAAGCCGATGGCCCTAAGGGTGGGGAAATGTGCATGGGGTTTGGGGAGGGGCCAAGCCTGAGCCAGAGGAGCTGGGGGGAATTTCATACCACCTTCATCAATCTCATGAACATTGAAATACCTCTTGTGTCAGCCCTACACAAATCAGATCCTGCCAGTGCTAACAGCTCTCTACCACTTCTGGTGGTAAGGCACACACTCTTAGGCAAGTCCAAACTCTGAAGCAAGGCACGAAAGGCCCCATGTGCTTGGGTTTCTGCCCACATCTTCATTCCTTTCCCCTATATCCTGACACTCTTCAACATGAGCCCACACTGGCTGTGCCTGATCTCCACACTGCCCATCTTCAAGTTTTGGTAAAGGTTCCGTCTGTCTGAACTGCCCCATACTCCCTCCCTTACTCCCCTTTTTCATCTGAGTAATTGCTACTGGGAGGCACTTTGGGGGGTATGGGGGGAAAGAGCATGGAATCACAAGACCTGGTAAGAATCTTAGCTGAGTCTCAGTTTCCTCATTAGTGAAATGGGGATGTAATACTCATTTCAAAAAAAACTAAAACATTACATTGTCAAGTACTGGCACACCTCAGGTGCTGAAGAAGATGTTAATTTCCCCTTCCATTCCCTTTAGATACAGGTAGATAATAGGTATTAAGGTCAGCGTCAAATAAACGTATTGAACACCTCCTAGGTGCTACTGTACGACTAATACAATCTCACATCATCATCTCAATTATCTCAAAGATTTCAACTGGACCTCTCCCCAAGCTCCCCAAAAAGTGGATGAAGCCAGGAATTCAAATTAGATTAGCTCAGTTTACTCCACTCCACAGAAAACCCACTGTCTATTCAATTGCACATACCTTCCCCTGACCACCCCCCCCATTCCTCTGAGATTCCAGTCCCCACACCCAGCATTTCTGTCCACACTACATTGGATTCAGTTTACCATCTGAAACTTGGAAAAGCTGGGTCCCGCCACCCCCCCTTGGAAACACTCCCCATGGTGGGCAAAGGGTAAGTTCACACTCACCAGGCTAGTCCCACAGCTTTCATGGGGTTCTTGCCCCTCTTCCTGGGAATATATTCCAGCTCAGGGGACAGGGGTTCAGGTTCCTCCTTGCACTCTGGGGAGTTGTGGCTTTGCAGTGCCCGGGTCCTATTCTGGGAAGCCTTGTTAGACGTGGCTCCTGAGAGAATCCCTGCGGATGGAGATAAAGAAGGTCAGTAAGAGAAGATGGGAAGAAAGCACCATGAGAAGAGGTTGAGATCGGAAGGAGAGTGACTGCATTTTGGAGTAACAAGTGCCAGGGAGAATACAAAGGGAAACGAGAAAATCGCCACCGAGGTGGCACCTTTGGAAGCCACTTCCACGTCACTGCGGGCTCATCGCCCTGGTGCCGGGCGAGCGAGATTCGCTGTTCATCTCCTCAGACCACAGGATGGGAAGGACTGCAGTGGGACTCATACGAGACGTATGAAGAAAATCCAAGAAAAGGTTTTCGAACTGCAGAATGTCAGCAATGGAAGGGAACTTAAAGGTAGTCTACCCACCCCCTCATTTTATAGAAGAAGAAACTGAAGCCCCAAGAGAGGAACTGCTTCGCCCAAGGTCAAACGGCTAATTATCCGAGGATAGAACCCAAGCCTCCAGAAGCTCAGGGCTCTTTCCTCTGCACTGCGGTGAGTGTGAAACACCTGGAGCGCGGGAGTCTACAAGGCTTCCTTGGGGCTCCTTCTCGAAGCCAGACCCCGGAGGTGTCTCGTAACCCGAAGGCAGGGGGATGGACCGGGTGACCTCTAGAGAGCATCTTGCAGCCCCCAGGCTCTTTAAGATCCTGCCGAGGGAACGGCAGGAATGGACAGCCCTAACCTTCAGCTGTCGCCCGTTACGGTGTGAAAAAAAGGGGTCCTCCTGCAGTATTGCCCTCCCGGGGTCCCTCTCCTTACCCCGGAGGACGCGGGCATTTCTCGCCCCCCGGCCCTTCAGCGCCGTAGCAGCTACCACCGCCGCCATGTTCAGATCCCACCCCCTTTCACCGCGCTCCCCGCCGGGAATTGTAGTTTGCGTAAGGGGCCTCCCCCGCTCCTTCCGTCCTGACTACAAACCAAAAACTACATCCCCCAGAAGCCCGCGGAGCGGACCCGGGAGAACTACTCTTCCCAGGAGACCACGGAGACGCGCACGCTCGCTTGTTTCCCTCCTGTTGGGGGCGGAGCCACATCGGGAGGAGTTTGGGTTCTCTCCGCCACGCCCCGGCCCCGTCTCCCAACTCTGCCCTGTGATTGGTGGGCCCGCCAGTCATTCCCTTTCGCTATTGGCCGAAAGGCCGCCGCTCTTCCTGCCGGGGAGTCGCCTACGCCTACTTCCTCCCGGGAGGAGGGGCTCGAGTTCCCCGTCGTCGCGCAGAGCTGACTCTGGGAGGCGTTTGGGCCCGGAGAAGTGGATCGGCCGCTTTCGCCGCATGGAGTCCGAATCGGAAAGCGGAGCCGCCGCTGACACCCCTCCACTGGAGACCCTGAGCTTCCATGGTGATGAAGAGATTATCGAGGTGGTAGAACTGGATCCCGGTCCGCCGGACCCGGGTGAGAACTGCCGCTCCTCAGGCCATGGGACAGGAGGCGCTCACCCCTGGCCTCTGACCCCTACCTCTCCCCCTCCCCTCCGCACCTCACCGGTCGTTCCTACCGACATCTCCCTCCCTCTCTCCCTCCCCCCGGCCCCTCCCCCACACTTAGTTCTCCGGCCTGACCGGGGTGGGGGTTCCCTTGACGCCTCCTCCGGCCCTTCCCCTCACACACCCCCTTCCCATCATCCCCTCTGTGCTCCCTTCCCACACGGTCTCTTGCTAAGCCCCGGTCCTTCGCCCTCCCCGATCCACATGTCGCCTCCTCCCGGTTTCATTCCACCTGTCAGACCTCACCTTACTCTCTTGCCACATGTCCCCCCACACCTCTCCCCTGGCCTCTCATCGCCTGCTAAGCCCCATCTTTTAACCCTGTCCCCAAAGCAGATGATCTGGCCCAGGAGATGGAAGATGTAGACTTCGAGGAAGAGGAGGAAGAGGAAGAGGGCAATGAGGAGGGCTGGGTCCTGGAGCCCCAGGATGGGGTGGTCGGCAGCATGGAGGGTCCAGACGACAGTGAGGTCACCTTCGCATTGCACTCAGGTAAGTCTCGGGAGAGATCCGTCTTAAACTCGGTGCAGGTGGGCAGTGAGCACAGTCATCATCGAGATGGAGCACTAGGAGGGATGCAGAGATGGGAGATGCTGGCTTTGTGGCCTGAGGGGATGGAGAAGAGCGTGGCTCCTGGGGAGTTCAAAGCTACCTCTGCTACTTGATGGCTCATGATCTCTGTTAACCTCTCTGGTCTTAGTTTTCTTTTAAAAAGCTACTTTTGGTAAAAGTTAATAAGTCATCTGAGTATGAATTAGAAGTAAGAGTGCCTTTTTGAGCATATTTTATGTAATATCCCAAATATTACCTCTTGATAAGAAGTCAGTGTGTGGAGCACTCCTCACTCACCCAGCCTGGCAGCCTCCCCTGCTGAATGCTGTAAGCCTTGCCCAGAGGCTCTCTTGTTATCAGTGCGGGGGGGGGGGTGGGGTGGGGGGTGACGGGGGGGGGGGGCCCTCGAAGGGAGCAGCTCAGTAGAGGGATCTGCCCTGGTGAAGGACTCAGAGCTTGGGGAGGAATTTCTCCAACATCCTGATGCTTGACACTTAGAAGAACTTGGATGCCCCCCTTTTCAGGAGGAAAGCACAGTTTGGGCTGGAAGGGGTGGTTCCCCGAGGTCCTGAAGGGCACAACCCTAGGTGGGAGGCCTGACCCCTCTCTTACTCATTACATATCTCTTTGGATAGCTTCTGTGTTTTGTGTGAGCCTGGACCCCAAGACCAACACCTTGGCAGTGACGGGGGGTGAAGATGACAAAGCCTTTGTGTGGCGGCTCAGCGATGGGGAGCTGCTCTTCGAGTGTGCAGGTAAGGGGGGCCTGGGTGAGATCCTGCCCCTTGGGCAGTCCCAGGGGGTGGGCCTGTATCCATCAGCCATTCCTTGAGCCCTGTTTGTGTCAGCCCTGTGCTGGGTCCCAGTGCCCCAAAGATGAATCACATAGTCTGTTGTGGGCACAGGAGAGGGAGGCGCTCTCCAAGGAGCACCTTGGAGAGCTTGGCCAAGGAAGTCTGGGAAAGGCCTAGAAGACATAGCATTGAAATAGGAGTATTTGGGCACAACGGAGTGGGTATTTCAGGTAGAGGTGCAGAATGCATAGGACAGGTAAGGCATAGGCCTGGGCTACACTTGGTTCAGTGAGGGGCCAGCACTGTCTCCCTTGGGGAGGCCTGGGGGTGTAGATTCCTGGAGTGGTGGTGAGTTTGGTCACTTGCTCTGCTGGGGCTCACCCTTTTCCCCCCCAGCTGGACCTTTCTAGGGGCCAAGTACCTGACTGCACTTTTCTCTGCAGGCCATAAAGACTCTGTGACATGTGCAGGTTTCAGCCACGATTCTACTTTAGTGGCCACAGGGGACATGAGTGGCCTCTTGAAAGTGTGGCAGGTGGACACCAAGGAGGAGGTCTGGTCTTTTGAGGCAGGAGACCTGGAGGTGAGAGCATCAGAGTGATTTAATTCTGGGGGTCTTGGGGGTCTAGTCCCACATATGCCAGCTAAGGTACCTCTGAGTCAGTGCATCCCCAAAGACTAGAATTTCTGTATCTGTTATCTGGAACGCCCCCACTAACTTTGGAAGTAGGGAAAACTTGGGTGGGGCTGAAAAAAAAAGTAAAATGAAAAGTTTTTTACTTTTAAGACCTGGAAATTAGACCACACATCTGCGGCCACCCAGCCAGGCTGCCAGGAGAAAGAGAGGGGAGACTGAGCATGTGCAAGAGCTCAGAGGGGCCTGGCCTTCTGCTTTTGATTGGGATCAAGGGTAGGGGGTCTCGGCTTTTGTGGCTCACTCCTTATTGGCAAATTTAAAACATAAAATTTAAAGCTTCGGACGAGACAGAAAAAGATGAAAATAAACACAAGTGGCCCAAATGGCCAGTTATTTAGACTAAGCCATGAGGCAAAGACCTCGTGGGGGGTTGGGTGTGGGGAGACCGCTTGGCTGGGTAGCGGCTGCCAAGGTGTTTATTCGAGCTCGTCCTTTCTGACGTGCATGCGTCGGCATCAGCGTTTAGCCAAGCATTGGGATTACAAAAATCACAAGCTGTTAGGGCTTACACTACCCTCTTCCTCTCTGCCCAGTGGATGGAGTGGCATCCTCGGGCACCTATCCTACTGGCGGGCACGGCTGACGGCAATACCTGGATGTGGAAGGTCCCAAATGGTGACTGCAAGACCTTCCAGGGCCCCAACTGCCCCGCCACCTGTGGTCGCGTCCTCCCCGATGGTAAGAGCAGCTCCCCCGAGTGTCCTTTGCTGGATGCAGAGAGCTTGGCCCCAAGCTCTCGCCCCTCCCGAGGCCTCTTCTGGGCCACAGCTGGCAAACCGGGCTGCCCCTTGAGCACCAGCCTGGGCGCGGTGCAGACAGCTCCCCCTTTCCCGCCCTGGGTTGGGGCTCCTCTGCTGTGCCCTCGCGCAGTGTGTCCGTTCCTGGCTTGCCCACCTCCTCCCTGTCCTGCGCCGGGTGTGTCTGACTGTGCCTTCTAGCCTTTCTTCATCTGCCTCTGACCCCTTAGGAAAGAGAGCTGTGGTCGGCTATGAAGATGGGACCATCAGGGTTTGGGACCTGAAGCAGGGAAACCCCATCCATGTATTAAAAGGTATGGGCGGGGGAGCGGAGGAGGTGTCGGCCTGGGCCTTTCAGGACGGGGTAGGACTTGGGACAGAATGAAGTCTGACTTGCGCCCCTGCTCCGTCCTAGGGACTGAGGGTCACCAGGGCCCTCTGACCTGTGTTGCCACCAACCCGGATGGCAGCCTGATCCTAACCGGCTCTGTGGACTGCCAGGCCAAGCTGGTCAGTGCCACCACTGGCAAGGTGAGTGGGGCCTGGAGCCTGGCTGCAGAGCCCTCCGCTCACTGCTGCTTCTCCCCGTCCTCACTCACCCCTCTGCCTTTCTTCTTGCAAGAGGACTCAGGCCCCAGGCCCTTCTCTGATGGTCTCTTTCGGCTCACAGGTGGTCGGTGTTTTCAGACCCGAGACGGTGGCCTCCCAGCCCAACCTGGGAGAAGGGGAGGAGAGCGAATCCAACTCCGTGGAGTCCCTGGGCTTCTGCAGTGTGTGAGTGTGAGCAGGGCCTCAGCCTGTAGACAAGAGGGAGGGGGGACCAGGGAAGAGTGGGTAATGGGCACATGAGTCTGGGCTCCTCCTTGAGCCTTGCTGGTGCTCCCCTTTGCCCAGGATGCCACTGGCAGCTGTTGGCTACCTGGATGGGACCTTGGCCATCTATGACCTGTCAACGCAGACCCTCAGGCACCAGTGTCAGCACCAGGTACAGGCAGCCTGGACCCATGGCTGTGGGGAAGCCCAGGCCCGAGGGAGAATTTCCCCCAGACGTGGCTGCCGCTTGATCCTTCTCCGTGGCGTGTCGTGTCCACCCCCACCCCCGCCCCATCCCCCATGAGCATTAGGAGCAGATGCCTCGACTCTCCTGCCCCTGACACCTGTGCCCTCACACTTGTACCCTGGTGCAGTCGGGTATCGTGCAGCTGCTGTGGGAGGCGGGCACCGCTGTGGTTTACACCTGCAGCCTGGATGGCATCGTGCGCCTCTGGGATGCCCGGACTGGCCGCCTGCTCACTGACTACCGGGGCCATACGGCCGAGATTCTGGACTTTGCTCTCAGCAAGTATGTGAATTGGCCTAGGTGGGGGAGGGTCTGTGTGTGTATTGGGAAGGTGGGACTAGCACAGGGAGGGCCACGGCATCCTTGGGGTGTGGGAGGGAGGGGATTCCTGAGGGGAGCAGGGACCTGAGGCCTGGGCATGGCCTGTGAGGGAGGAGTTCTGGGAAGCCTGAGGCCCTTGTTCCGGTGGCCAGTAACCTCTCGAGTCTCAGTCCTGGGGCTGAAGGACTGGAGCTGGGACTCGCCTCTGGCTTCAGCAAATGTGTTCTCAGCATGGGTGTGTCCGTGCAGGGCTGGAGGGCTCAGCCCTAGAATTGAGGATGTGCTGGAGTCCACCTCATGGTGGACTTGGGGCTGCACCCCACATCCCTAGCTCCTTCAGTCTGTGCTTTCTGTTTCCAGAGATGCCTCCCTGGTGGTGACCACATCAGGAGACCACAAAGCAAAAGTATTTTGTGTCCAGAGACCTGACCGCTAGTGACCGCCGCCTCTGCTCCGTGTCTGGTGTTGAGGGGACACCCCCACCACCAGCAGAGGCGCTGGGGTACCTGGGAGGAGGAGGGGAGGGGCCTCAGACTACTTTCCAACCCCTTCAAACTGACTTGCCCCCTCTCTGTCCCTTTCTTCCCTTCAGAGACCCTCCCCAGGGCCCGTCTCCTTCCCCTCGTCCCCACCTGGCGGGTCCTTCAAGGGAGGTTCGACCTCTTTCTCTTTCACTTTTCATTTGCTGGTGTGAGCCATGGGGGGCGCGTATTTGTATGTGGGGAGTAGGTCTTGGCGGTTCCCGTTCTTTCCCTTCCCAGGTCTCTGGGGGTGGAAAGAAGGAAGAGATACTAGTTACAGATTTTAAAATGTAAATAAAATATACTTCCCAGAGACTGTGTCTGTGTGAATTTTGTAGCGACTGTACACAAGGAGCAACCAGGAGGGGCTTGTCAGGGCGAGGCCCCCCGGATGTGGGGGTTTCAGGTACTTCAGCTTGCCCCGTGTCCGGTGGTGGTTGTCCTCCGGCCATGGCTTGCCCGTCTGGAGCTGGGCTCTCCCTTGCCGCACGTATGGCTCCAGGTTCTTTCCGCAGCTGCCTACCTGCCTTTCCCTTCTGGGGCGTGGAATGAGATGACGTATGGGGCGGAGGAGTTTTATTTGATCAGGGTGGGGCCCAAAGGAGCAGGGTCTCATCCAGAGGAGGGGAGGCAAGTGGAGCCGGGTTTGGTGGTCAAGACGGATGGATTCTTCTGGTAGGAATGGGAACAGACCCTTCCTCTAGTGCAAGTCCAGGTCGACGCTGCTTTGACTGCTGGTGTGGTAGGCGGTGCCTCGGCCCGTATTGCCCCGGGAGGCCCTTTCCCGCAGCACCCGAAGCCACCGTCGAGCAGCCGCCCTCCAGGGGGCTGTGTAGCGCTGGTCACCCAGCCCCATGGCGACAGGCACAGCTGCTGCACTGGCACTGCCCAGGGAGATGAGGGACAGCAGGGTTCCCGGCCCCAGCGGTGGGCGCTGCTCATAGGCCAGGACCGAGAGGAGTAGGGTGGCCACGTAGGGGCCCCAGCACAGCCCAAAGAGCAATGTGGCCCCAGCCTGTGCCCTCGCCTGCCTCCACGTAAGGGTCCGGGCCAGGGCCGAGGGTGCACCTCGGCACACTGCCCGCTCAAGCCGGCGAATGTCCCGCAGCTGGCTGTGAGCAGCGGCCAACACCCGGGCAGAGAGGAGGGCGGCAGCACCCACGGCGGGCAGCAGGAGTCCATAGACTTCGAGGTAGAGGTAGGGGCTGGGAAGACGGACTGGGAGCTGCAGTTGGCACCAGGGGCCCAGTGGTTCCACCCCAGAGCAGGCAGGCTGGCAAAGAGCAAGGGGCCAGCCCAGGTAAGGAGCAGGGCCAGCCGAGTGCTCCCTCGGGGCCGCAGGGGCCTCAGCACTGCCATGTAGCGCTCCCCATGCACCAGCAGGAGGTTGGCCAGCAGGGAGAGGAAGGAGAAGTTGGGAGCCAGGTAGAGCAGGAGGCAGGACCAGTAACCCCGAAGGCTCTGGCTCCATAGTCCTGGCAGCAACGGCAGCGCCAGCCCCGTGAGCAGCCCGGCCAGCAGCAGGCTCAGGAAAAAGCAGCCAGCAGGTGGACTGCGCAGGTGGCGGTCCCTGGCGATGCCCAGAGCCAGGAGCAGGTTGGCAGCGACAATGAGGCTGGCCAGGGCCAGGGAGAGCCCCAAGGCCCCTTCAGGGATGGGGCTGGGCGTCTCCCCGGTGCTGTTTGGTGTCATCTCGGGCCTTGGGAGCGGGGAGGCCTGGAGCAGAAGCCAGCATGCCTGGAGGGAAAAAGGGGCAGCCAGGGTTAGGCTGGGGCTGCACTCAATCCTGAGGTTGCAGACCAGTGGACTGTGGACCATGTCCTGCTTGCCATACATGTTTTTCCCCCTCAACTAATTGCCAATTACAATTTTTCTAAAAATTTAGGTTTTTGCTTCTCTTAACTCAGGCAATATGCTATGTTTTGTGTGGCAGCGGCCATCTGGAGCTGAATGAGCTGCTTGCAACAGTTCCCCACTACCCCTGCCAGGCCCCCTTCACTCGTTTCTGTTATCTGTCTGGTCTGCTCCGGGTAGCTGTTTAGGCCTCAATTGACTGAAAGATGGAACCCACCCAAACCCAAAGCATTTTGTCCATCCTTGCCTCCGCCTGACCTGGCCTTGGAATTAGCTGAAAGGGAGGGCGGGGTCCAGCTGGCTGGTCGGCCAGGGGCCAGGGCTGGGTGCTAGGTGAGGGTCCTGTCCTCAGGTGCTTGTGGCCTGGTTGGCACCAGTGCATTCAAGATGGTCAGTTGCTAAGGATTGGGGATTAGGGCCGGGAGAAACAGGGCTCACGGAGCACTGGAGGTAGTGAGGAGGCCCAGGTAATGAGCGGCAAGTGGGGTGCCCTGTCCCCCACACCCATCCGCCCTTGATGCCCGTTCCAGTTCAGTGAGCAGCCTCCGGGTAGGACTTCCAGACCATAAACTTGACTCATCCGCACCACACTAGCAACAGGGTCCTTCCTGGGAACTGTGAGTGGGGAGAGGAATTGCTGGGGGAGGGTTGGGCCGTGAACGTGGAGATGCCTGGGCAAGGAGAGGGCACCCGCCACACCTTGGGGCTGAAACTGAGCCCACAGGAGAGGGAGGAGTCACTGGGCAAGGGCCTGGCTTCTCCGGCTCTGATCTGTCCTTCCCTTCCCTTGTCCGCTGTGATCTTAGTCCTTAGCCTCCGGCCACACCACTGCATCATGGCCACGGGGGAGGGGTCCTGGGCTGTGGGAACTACAGCTTCTGTCAACAGGGAAGCAGCTGCTGTTGCTAGGATTAAAGTCGATAAGGAAAGGGTTTCTACCCGCCCCTCCCCCAGGTCAGAGGCTCGGAGGCCCCAGGCCATCCCCCAGGAGATGCTGCCCCTCTAGCCCCACCTCCCCTCAGGACCCCAAGCCAGGTCATCCAGCAGCTGTACCCCATTCTCTCCCCTAAGCCCGAGTTTCCTGTTCCTCTGTCTCCCTCAGTGCCCTCCACTCGAGAGGTCTCTCCCTCAACAGCAGCCCTCCAGTTCCCCTTTGTCCCCTCACCATCAACTTCATTAAATCCCACAAGACTTCAGGTCCTTCAAGCCTGGATCCTGGGCTGGAGCACCCGGTCTTCCCCTGGGGTGAGTCTTCCCCATCCTGCCTCCGCCAGAGGAACAAGAAGGGCCAGATCAGGCCCCAGAGGTGACGTCCCGTGCTGTGCTGGCTGTGTGACCCGCGTGCCCCGGGGGCTCTGGTGCTTGGGCAGGCCACAACATCCCCATCTGAATCTAGGCCTGAGGTGTGGCCTGGGGTTGGTGTCCGAATACTCACATGGCTGTGGGGACAGGTGTTGCTTGCCCAGCCTGGACTTCCTCGGTGTGTCAGGCAATGGCCACAGTCAGGCCAGAGGGGCTTCTGACGATGTCTGCTGTCCAGGCCGGTGAGAGCATGGTGTCTCCACTCTTCAGGGACAGCAGGGCTCTCAGCTGCCCAGGCTCTGGCCCCGCCTGGGTTCCCCAGAGGGATGGAGGGCGGCCTGGCTCCACCTCCGGGGGCGGGACCTGACACACCCAGCGCCGCAGCCACTGGGAGGCCTTCCTCCTCAAGTATCCCCTCCCTGCAGCCCCAGTATCTCCCCTTCCCAGACACCCACCATAGCTCGCCACCTAGGTGGTGGCTCCCCTACCTAGGTCACCCCTCCTACCTGTCTCCCCCTCCCAGCAGCTTGAGACTCTCTTGTCTGCTGCCTAACTAATCTGAGAAATACATTTCAGTTAATGAATAATAATGAGTGAACCTGCCCCTCCCCACTCCCCACCCCAACCAATACATTTACATTTTATCCCCCTGAAGTGGCCAGCCAGCTGACAGCACACCCAGACCACAGACTCCAGGGTAGTACGTGGCGATGGAGGCAGTGGTGGGAGAGCTTGGGGCTGGAGGATCATCCTGTCACTGGTGGGCCCTTCAGCTTATAAGGCCAAACTTTGCCTCCCGGAATCTGAGTCACCCCTCCCTTTCCTCAACCACAGGATTATGCTCTGGGAGGTTAAGGACAGATAGCTGGAGGTTTGGGGGGTTCAGGGGGTGAAGACTTTGGGCAAGTTTCCTCTGGAACTCAATTTTTCAACCTGTCAACGAAACAGGTAAAACCACCTCTCAGGGGTGTCACAGGGAATATTATGGGATAACCTGGAACCCGGTATCCCAGTGCCTGGGAGAGGGTCTCGACAAACAACTCCACCCTCAGGATGACAAAGAGGGAGACCAGAGCCAGGGTTGCAATCAGAAAGCCTAGGCTTGATGCTCAGAGTGCTGGCTGAGCTGTTTTTCTTAGCTGTATGAACTTGGGCAAATTACTAACGTTCTCTCGCCTTCCTTTCCTCATCTACAGAGGAGCTCTTCTTCGTACTCGCCTACGAGGAGACGGAATGAGGTGAGGTGTGATAAGGACTGAGGTGGGCCAGCATATGTGCGCTCAGTGAAATACTGCGAATATTAGGGCTTCTGCCCTACTCTGTCCTCCAGCCACCTGATCTAAGAAGGAACTTTTGAGAAGGCAGATGGAGGGTCCACAGAAAGCAGCAAGGGAACGGATGACACGTGCTCCACAGGGATGCAGAAAACAGCACGGTGAGAGGAAGGGCAGGTTCAAGGCCAGCAAGCTAAGACATGTGGAGCCAGGGAGCTGACCCACATGGTGCAGACCTCTCCTGTCTCACACGCTGCTCCCCTCAGCAGTGTATTTCAGTAGATCTGCCTGTTCTGCTCTCCACTCTGTCTCTGGTGAATCCTCTCACCCTCCATACCTCTGGCCTGTACCCCAGCTCTTGTATGCATAAATAAATCTTTAAAAAAAAGGAGGGCCTCCCCAGTGGCGCAGTGGTTGAGCGCTGGGTTGTGAAGCTGCCCGCAGCCTCTGCAGCGCCGGTTTGATCCCCAGCCGCCAGGCGAGGGTCCCACATGGCGCGCAGACCTCTCCTGCCACCCGCTGCTCCCCTCAGCAGTGTACTTCATCAGTCTGCCTGGTCTGCTCTCCGCTCTGGCTCTGGTGAATTCTCTCACCCTCCAGCGCTTCTGACTGTACCTAATGATTGTATAAATAAATAAATAAACCTTAAAAAAAAAAAAAAAAAAGAGAGAAGCCTAGTTACACTTGCTTGAGCCTGGTGATAGAGGGTACAGGCTGACATGGCAGCAAGACGCTGGAGGTGAGACATTAAAAAAAGGTTCCTCGCTCGAGAACACAAGTAGACAGAGGAAGGAGCCTTCTGTGCTCTCTGGGGGCAACTTGGGCCCGAAGAGCTATTGGCCTGTGGGGTCTAGCTGTCAACCCTGCAAAGGAGTCAGGGGTCCTGAGAAGCAGGACTTCTGTTGGAAGCAAGAGGTGGGAAGAGGCAAGCTGCCAGCTCAGGCTCATACTCATGGGAGCTGCTGGGCGAGAGGACGCTGGGTTGCAGGAGGCAGCCCTCACCCCCACACCACTTGGTCGGGCATAAGTCAGAGGCTCTGGGAGAGTTCAGCCAGGGTCTGGAAAGAGTGGGTGTGGGGCCCCTTGGATACTGGGCTGCCAGGAATAAACAGACCTCCTGTTCCCAGCCCTGGCCTCCTCCCTGTGCAACCAGGATGTCTGTGTTTCTTCTTCGCTGCTCTGTCTAAACACTGTGTGTGGGATAACTTGTTAAGGGGGACAACTTAGGGGCGGGAGCCAGGAAGCCTGGGTTCTGTCCCCCACTGAGGACTGTTTCTTTCTCACCAAATCATCCAGTGATTCCACTATAATCCCTGGGCTGGCCCCTCCCACAGGAGGCTCTGGTACAGGTTTACAGGTGCTTCATCCTGCCGACTCCGCAGGCCTGAGAGCCTCTCCTTTCCTCAGAGCCTGTGTCTTGGTGTCCGATGCAGGCCCTGGAAGGGAAGTCTGGGTCTCCTTCCTCCTTTCCCTTTTTTTGGATTTCTTTCTGCTGACCCTCGGTCTCTGGATGGGTGTGGTATCTGAGGGCTGGGGTGGGGTGGGGGTGGTACTCACTGGCTGACTGAACAGTGGCAATGGGCACTGGGGCATTTGGACCCCTTGGCCTTCTTGGCCCTCTTTACTCCCTAAAGGCAAGAACAGATGAGCCCTTGGGGGCCTCTGAGGGTTCTGGGTAGGATCCTAAGACTGCAAGGATCCTGGCTTCAGGAAGTTTTAAGTCACTTCTAGGACAGAAGAAACTCTGGTCCCTCTGTCAGGGCTGAAGGACCATTCTCCAGGTCTGCAATGGCCTTCGGGGTTAGACTCTAGGGCTACAAAATTGTAGTGCTCTAACAATCCCCAGGAGGGGGCAGCATTGCTTGAATTCAAATGGCCCCAAGGTGTCCCAAGTGGCACAGGGATAAAGACACAGCGCTATCAAGCCATCGCTAGCCACTGCAGCACCAGTTGGATCCCCAGGGAGCTGACCCACATGGCTCAGCAGATCTCTCCTGTCTCCCCTGCTGCTCCTCTCAACAATGTATTTCAGTAGATCTGCCTGTTCTGCCCTCCACTCTGGTGAATCCTCTCACCACCCCACCTCTGGCCTATACCCCAGTTCTTGTATGCATAAATAAATCTTAAAAAGAAAACAAACAAAAAACCCAAAACAACATAGCCCTAAGAATAAGCACAGGCCTCAGTAGCTGTTAGGAGTAGGCCCTAGATCAAAGGGAACTGAAATGGTAAAACCAAGTGCCAGCCCTGTAAGAGTTGGGC